GAACTCTGGGTCTGCTGCCATGCTGCCGCACTTAATTGTCATATGACTATTATTACTCAAAGGACCATTTCAACTTTTTAAAAATTAACTCTCATTATATATGACATTTTTCTTCCTTAAGCCTCAGTAGCATCATTTGTAAAATTAGTATTAAAATAATAGTGGTAGGCGTGGTGGCAGTAGTAATAATTATAAAAACAGTGATAATAACGAACACCTACTTCACTGGGTTTCTGTGAAGATTAAATGAACTGACTGGTGCAGAGTACCCAGCAGAGCGCCTGGCAGCATGGTTTTAAGAGGTGCTGAGGGGCGTGCTGCAGGAAAATCACCCTGACTCATCAGTGCAGTCTGTCTGCAGAAGTGTGCTGGGTTCAGGTTCAGTCAAGAGGCAGACCAGCTTTCTAAACTAATTACTTGCTCTCAAGTCCCTTACTCTCATTCCATAAATGAAAAAACAACCCTGCCCATCCAGGGACTGCTATGAGAATCAAATGAAACACCAGGCATGAAGGCATTTGAAAACAATAAAAATAAAGTGGTATTATTATGTTTAGCCTCCACCCAAGGCTGTCTGCCTGTCCATTCCAAACCAAGTATTAACCAGCTAGTATTAAAACCTCTGCTTGCTGTCCTAAGAACCCAAAGAGTTCAAAGCTTTCTTAGCAGGAAAATAGCTCCAACTAAAAACATCTGTATTCTCCTGTGGACTACACCTGGAATTCCAGGTACATCCAATAAAGATGAAAAGAAATGTGTTTGCTCAACAGAAATATGTGTTTGGGTCACAGGCAAGCCTCCAAAAGTATACATCTAGGCACCAAATGGCAACTGCGGAATGAGGAAGATAGCCAACCCCCCGACACTCCGCTGGCACTGAGGCCAGCAGCGTCTCCGCAGAGCTCCCCTCAACAGCACCCCTTTGTCCTGACACAAGGGACCGGTAAAACACAGACAAGTCCATCTCTTTCTCCCAAACCGATTTCCCTGAGTTCTCCCTGCATGCCTCTTTCTCTCGTTACCGAGGCTCCTGGGAACACAGCCCTACCTAACGCTGGCCAGCCACGGAGGCAGCAGTTAATAATTTTTAAAGATGTGTAGTGGAACAGTTTTTAAAGTGAAAACTTGGTGAAGCTTAAGCCCTCAGGAGCAAGCATTTACTTTTTTTAACTTCCCATTTTCTTCAGATACATTCTAGGATTGAAGATAAGATAAAATTAATGATAAAAGCCTAAGGTAATTTATACTCAGGAGGCATTAGGGTCCCTACACAGCTCTGGTTCAAGTCCATGGCCCTCCCTCCGCACAATGGTGTACAATAACCAAGGAACAAGGGAGGGAAGCAAAAGTGCCAGTTCTGTCAAAGCAACCACTAACGCCGGGATGTGGCTTGCTTCCTTCACCCTCAGCCACAGGCAGAGAAGGAAGGCTTTCAATGAAGGCCCACACGCAGGCATCTACTATTCCATCGCGGGCTCATTTTATGCGCTGTGCTGGGCTCGTCTCCTCCCTGGCCACATATCTGAAGGAAGCCTTCACCACTTCTGCTGGCAAGAACTCTATAATAGAGCTTCACAACCGTGTCCGCAGAATAAGAATACAAAGAAGGCTCGTTACCTGAGGGTCCTTTCACTCTGACGACTTACATACGTCTCCCCTAAGAACAAAGGGTTTAACTGGTTCCCAGATGCCTCACTGGTGGGTACTCATCTGGTGCTGAATCAGTCAAGTAAAGAGGTTCATTCATTCCACACAGAGGGTCTCCTACATAGAGGCTCTTGTGGACTGGTGGATGGGCTGGATTCTACAGCCAAACTGCCTGGGTTCAAGTCCTCACTCTGCCACTTATTAGTTACTGAGTCTCAGTTTTCGTGTGAGGAAAACTGCAGATGACGATAATAATACTAATACCACCTCACGGTGTTCTTTTATAAAGACAAAATCAGCTGGCAGAGAGCAAGCCTGAGCTAAGTGTCAGCCTACGTGCCAGGCACTGTGGCCTTTGTGGCCAAGGAGGCCACATTCTTAGCCTTACTTTCTGAGGCTGAAGTTTGAATTCTAAGATTTGACAATGCATGCTTTTGACTACAGGGGGATGGAAAAAGAGAGACTCCAAACCTCAGAATGAAATCCACACTTTGTTCTGACATTTAAGGTCCTCTATAATGCACCCCCATCCTTCCTTCTAACATCCCCAAGACATCCTCAGACACCCCCAGACATCCTCTACATCCCCGAGCAGCTGTCTGGGGCATCTGTTTCTTAAAACAACATCAAGAGCCTTCCTGGCAGTCTAATGGTTAAGACTCCACACTTTCATTGCAAAGGGAGTAGGTTTGATCCCTAATCAGAGAACTAAGATCCCATATGCTGTACGGAACAGTCAAAAAAGGCAAAAACAGACAGACAAACAGAAAAAAACAACATCAGACACCTAAGTGCCACTGTTCTGCTCTCTGCTCACCCTCAATGCCTTCCCCTTTCTTAAGTCATCCTGGTCTTCAAAACACAGCTCAAGACATAGACTTCTACAGAGCCTTCCCAGGCTGCTCTAACCAGGGTCATTTGGCTTTTATTTACCATGCATTGATTATTTTGTTACATGGTTATATTCTATATGCCTAACTAAAGTATAAGCAACTCAAAAGGATGAATCTTATATCTCTTTGTATATCCCTAACCGCTCTGTCTCTGAAAACCGTTCAATATCACAGAAACCCAAGTCTATGCCCCGACTAGTAATGCTGAAGAAGCTGAACAGTTCTATGAAGACCTACAAGACCTTCCAGAACTAACACCCAAAAAAGATATCCTTTTCATTATAGGGGACTGGAATGCAAAAGTAAGAAGTCAAGAAATATCTGGAGTAACAGGAAAATTTGGCCTTGGAGTACAGAATGAAGCAAGGCAAAGGCTAATAAGAGTTTTGCCAAGAGAACACACTGGTCATAGCAAACACCCTCTTCCAACAACACAAGAGAAGACGCTACAGATGGACATCACCAGATGGTCAATACCAAAATCAGAGTGATTATGTTCTTTGCAGCCAAAGATGGAGAAGCTCTATACAGTCAGCAAAAACAAGACCGGGAGCTGACCTCGGCTCAGATCATTAGCTCCTTATTGCCAAATTCAGGCTTAAATTGAAGAAAGTAGGGAAAACCACTAAACCATTCAGGTATGACCTAAATCAAATCCCTTATGATTATACAGTGGAAGTGACAAACAGATTCAAAGGATTAGATCTGATAGAGTGCCTGAAGAACTATGGATGGAGGTTCATAACACTGTACAGGAGGAAGTGATCAAGACCATCGCCAAGAAAAACAAATGCAAAAAGGCAAAATGGTTGTCTGAGGAGGCCTTACAAATAGCTGTGAAAAGAAGAGACACCAAAGGCAAAGAAGAAAAGGAAAGATATACCCATCTGAATGCAGAGTTTCAAGGAACAGCAAGAGAGATAAGAAAGCCTTCCTCAGTGATCAGTGCAAAGAAATAGAGGAAAACAATAGAACGGGAAAGACTAGAGATCTCTTTAAGAAAATGAGAGATACCAAGGGAACATTTCATGCAAACATGGGCACAATAAAGAACAGAAATGGTATGGACCTAACAGAAGCAGAAGATATTTCTCTTTTTTGTTTTCCTACTACTTTTCAATGAGATTTTAATTAAGATCACTTTTAATGTACCAGCTAAAAGGAAAATAACTTTGCAATCATGAGACAAAGTGAAACTGCTGGTAGAGAGAATGGGCAGTTCAAATTCACACACCAGCATTCAAAAAAAACTTTCCCTCAAGATACTTGCAACAAGAGTGTCATTCTTTCTGCTTTCCAATCTCATAAACCAAGTTCGCAAAGTGACTTCCACTCCTTCTGCCTACATATGACTCCTGGTCTGAGTCAACTGAAGCCTTAATGGTGGTCCAGCTTCTTCAGTATACCACAGATGTGAATAGCAGAGTTGTGACTAAGTGAGCTCATAAACCAAGAATACCCTTCTAACAATATTCATTGTTAATCTATAATTGTTTATCACAGTACTTGGCTGTATTGCACACTCAGTGCATGCTTATTATCACTCTCATGTCACCTGTATGTGCACTTCAACAGTCAAAACCAAGAAGCTAATCATTTTTTAAGTCAATGTGTGTCTTCTTAAGGCCAGCCAGTTTTCAAAACTGGCCCAACAAATTAGCTCTAATATAGCTCACTACAAAAGAAACACAAAGCAAATTATAACAAAATAGAGCAAATTAAGTTTCTAAACTTGTTAAGTAACCCTGACTGTCTATACTAAGATGTTGATGTGAGGGATCTGATACTCTTATTTAAGGAACAGTGTTCCAACCAAACCATTTGCTTCTGCTCATCTACAATCTCACATTCTGATGGCCTCTAGGAAGCGCAGTATATTTCCATATTTTTAAATTTTTATATTTTGTTTTGTTTCTCACCACACCATGTAACTTGTGGGATTTCAGCTCCCCAACCCAGGCCCCTGGCAATGAAATTATAGAGTCCTAACCACTGGACTGCTAGGGAATCCCCTCTGTAGTTTTTTAAAAATCACATCCTAAAATACCTGAAATAGGCAAAATTAAATATTTCCTAAGTAGCCTGTGCTAGCAGTGTCACCTCTATACAAATATTTATTTTACAATAAAGAAGCAAAGGGCTTTCTTGAAATTCTTATTTAGGACAAGAAAGTAAATGTAATCTCTGCATGTAACAAACTTAAGTGGGTTTAAACAGCATATTTGTTCTCTAGCCACCTCCACACTGAAGTATCTGCATCACCAACATTCAAATATCTAGCCCTAGTGTAGTAAGATATAATATAGGCAAACACATTATGTATCTGTAGAGGAGTCAAGTATTTTATTCCTTGAAGAATGTAAATACTCAAGCTCTGCATAAACATCACATATTCTAAATTTTTCTAGAATGAAGAAAAATATATCCAAAAGAACATGCAATTTGTATTATGCAACTTACCTGCAGTTGCTAAGCAGGAACTCATTAAGGCAAACATGACAATTACACAATGAGAAGTCATTTTTATTTCTCCAAAAGTGTGTCCTGTTCAGTCACCTCAGCCTGTAGTTCTTCAGATTATAGACAATCTTTGCAAGTCAAAAGTGGCTTTGAAATCCTTCTTTCCAATTTCCAAATTGCCTGTAAAAATACAGATTTTAAGAAGAAAACTTAATGCAGGAATTTCTGTTCATAAGTACATATTAAAGTGAAATGAAGAATTCCTAAAAAGTATAAGAAATTTACCTTAAAAGATGACTAGACAGCACTCAAGCAAACCAGGGGCGGGGGGGCGGAGGGGAACGGGGGCAGTAATTACCAAATAAAGATTTTTACAGCAAACACTTTTGCAAATACATGTTTGCATTGATGTCTTAAATCTTTGGTTTTATATTAAAGTTTCAACAGTATAGAATAAACTCAAGGTACACCTAAACATAACATCATCAGTTATGTTGGAACACTAATCAATGACATTTAATAAGCGAACTTCAGAAAAAAAAAAAGACCAACTCTGATTAGAACTCAATCTAATAACCTGCCCAGGTTGGGTACATGAGACAAGTGCTCGGGCCTGGTGCACTGGGAAGACCCAGAGGGATCGGGTGGAGAGGGAGGTGGGAGGGGGGATTGGGATGGGGAATACATGTAAATCCATGGCTAATTCATTTCAATGTATAACAAAAACTACTGTAATGATGTAAAGTAATTAGCCTCCAACTAATAAAAATTAAAAAAAAAAAAAAAGAACTCAGTCTAAGATGCAAACTATTATATATAGCATAGATAAACAATAACATCCTATGATAAAGGACATATAAAAATATTTTTTTATATTTTTATAAATTTTTAAATTCTTTTATTTTATATTTTTTATCAATATCCTATGATAAAGCATAACAGTAAATAATGTGAAAAAGAATATATATGTGTATAACCAAATCACTTTGCTATACAGCAGAATTTAACATAAAATTATAAATCAATTATAGTTCAGTAAAATTTTTTAAAAAGAACTCAATCTAATGTTATAGTGACAGACCTATCACAAGGATCAAATTAAAATATTAATTTAGAATCAATCTGAAAACATAAGGAACCATTAAAAAGCCAAATTCTTATTTCAACTGTTTGCCAACATTTTAACATGTGAAAACTTGTCTCTCAACTCCATCTGAGACTATCTGGTTACTTGACTAGAGGATCCAAGAGGCTTTTTTAAAACTTTTCCTATCTGGAGCCTTGAAATGACAAGTTTTGTGAAGGTGGGATTAACTGGAATATTCTCCGATGACCCTAAAAATTACCTCATTTAGACACTGCAACGTATTGATAAATTTTCCTACCTTATCTCCCTGAATCTGGCACAACCCACAGAAGCTGCAATTCAACAAACATTTATTGACCACCTACTATGTTCCAGGTGTTGCATTAGGACATGATTCCTGGTGTCAGGAATAAAAATTATCTGACAACCAGATAGAAGTATGAAGACCCTGCCTGATCTAAGCTTCAGGCAAGGCAGGATCGCGCGTTTCTAGGATCCACCTCAAACAGCTAGAGACTGCAGCCCTGTTACCCAGAGTCAGATAAACGCATCCCCAGAAACAGCATGCTACCTTCAGACACAAAGCTAGTTTGGGCACTTGCAGGCACAGTACAAATATATAAAAACAATGGCAAAACGAGTTCGAATTAAACGGTTTTAGTTCACTGCATCAAGTGGGAAGAGAAAGACACTTAAAATGCATCTCTGTAGTAGTAATACCTAATGGACTTGGAGAAGGAAAAACAATAGGGTGCCTGGGGTACAGAGGTAGGAGAGGGAGGAACCTTTTCAGTGAACCCCCATTTGGGTTTTACAAGTATTACCTACCCAGCAATAATAACAATAAAGTTCGAATTTCAAAGATAATTTTTATATATGCTTTAAACTAAACTATTACATATGCAGGAGGCACTGTGGTCCAGTCTTGGTAGGAAAATGGTTTTAAAAGCCTAGTATGAGTAAAATACAGATGAGAGTGGAAGTAAAAGGTCTGCATGGACGAAACTATCCTACAAACTATTGTGAGGATTAAATGAGTTAATGTAGATACATTGTTTAGAACAGTGCCTAGCAAAAAAAAAAAAAAAGAAGAACAGTGCCTAACTCATAATAAGCAATGAATAAATGTTAGCTATTATTATCATTACTGGTCCATTCCCTTTGAGGTATATTTATATCAAGAAAGCAGAAAAATTAGGGTATAGCTATTTACATAATTTTTAGCTACTGAAAAATACTGCAAAATAAACATTACAATGGACACCAAAGGAGATAAGCTAAAGAGCAGATCACTAAGAAAACAAAGTTATCGACAAAATTGAGGCACAGTTCATTGATGGCACAATGGTCTTATCTCAAAAACTGACTAAATTATAGACATAACTCTGGACACCATAAAATTGTTTCCAATCACTGCTTAAAGTGATTGCCACCATAATTCCACATCACCTCAGATGTAATGGAAGTCTCCTCGGTTATCTGAAAAATCAATGATCAAAAAAAGAAAAAAATCAATGCCAGCAAAGAGAATCTGTCCCTATTTTTTTCCCTTCAAAAAATTAGATTTCCTGAATGGATGGATAAGGAAAACTCTAGAAGAACATGCCATTTCAACAAGTACTAAAAGGGCAACTTTTATAAAGCAAAACCCTATAAGGAGACCTCAGAAGATGACTTCCCAGAGGATTTTTATGGTGTACACAAACCACATAACCAGCAGGAGGCCTGTAGGGATATTTAATGAACTTGTGTCACCCCCTGCCCGCAGCTGCAGAGGGTCTGTGGGGCTGTGCCCCTTAATCCAGGGCTTAAACCAAGTCTGAATGAACCTGGAAAAGAAAGGCAAACGGTTCTATTAAAAATATAGACTGCAAATTGCTGACAAGAATATTGGGTAATTATTAAAATGCAGCAATTACAGATATAATAGAGCCAAGCTAAACAGTTTGATGCCCAAAGGCAAACCACAGCAAGTTTACACCGGATCTTAAAACATCTCCGAGGAAGTCCAAGACAAGTTGAAACTTACACACTGCTGCTTCGAACAAAGAAGGAGCTTTTCTTCTTTTAGCTTAGAAGTCCCTCCACAGTGTAACTTGTTCAAAAGAGAAAATAAACTGCAGAGAGTTTTTGTCTAATCTTCCCAATGTGGTGACAGGATCCTAAGGCAGAGGAGAATAAAAAGGGAAGTGTGTCGTTCCATTCACTGGAACTCCAGTTTTGGCCAAGACTTGCACACATCAGCAGCTGAACACACAACCTGCGGATCAGTTCCCTAACTAGAACACAGGATGATCAAAAGCTTCGAAAAAGTCACAGATCTGGAACAAAACTAGGGAAATACCAATTCTTTTCCTTCTCAGAGGTTATATCACACTCAATCTGCACAGACCAGGGACTCAACCCTGGTTTTCTGACCTCTCTGTATCTCTTTGGACTTTAAGAACAAATAGCTTTCTTTAGAAATATAAATAGGGTGCTCGAAATCTTAAAAGAACAATTTGAAAGATACTGTGAAACAGTCATTTTGCCCATATTTCAAAGTAATGTATTCCATTCAAAGGGTACCAAAACTCATAGTATCCACAAATGAACAAAAAACAATTCTGAGTGAGACCTTAATGGAGTTTTTTAAAAATGAATGTGATACTAATTCTTCTAATTTCCCCTGAGTCTATTTCTAAGGTCATTAAACTTAGTGCATTGCCCCACATTCTCTAGTGATACAAGGAGTTCACAGGGAAAGACCAGGATAAGCTGAAAACCCCTACCCAAATGAGTCCTGAAATATATCATGGTTTTTTGAACTAATATCCAAAGGAATTGGTTGGGAACAATTGGTATTCCCTGGGTTGATCAGGATTTTTTTAAGAGCAAACCTTGCTCTATCTTAGAGGGAAAACGTGGTGAAACAACGCCTGGCAATAAGCTAACAGCCAGCAAAAAACAATTAGTAACTTCCCCTTAGATAGCTAACACAGTGGCTATGAATATGAGATTATTCAAAATCAGAACCTACAATTAGCTTCCACCGAATCAATTGCTCAATTAAAAGAATTAGCCTGCTAAAGATAACATGAACAGCTTTTAAACTTAGATGAGCTCAACAGAATTCATGGATGAAGAGGAGCCCAATCTCCAAGACCAGCACTTGCCCAAAATATTAACAATAAGGCAGAGTCAAGACTAGAAACTAGGTCTTCCCATGACAGCACTCCACCTTGCAGTTTCAGGTCAGTTGCCACAAACTAGGAGCCGTTTTCTCTCCCTCACTGCTCAACCTCGAGAAACAGAATGTTTTCTCCAAGAGAGAGGGAAGCCTGCCATAGCTGCCATCAGACATCAGTACTTCCATGTTGACATGTGCACTTTGCACAAATCATTACTGATCACAAACTAAGACTTGACTTCCGGACTGTGGGTGGTAGTCATAATAAATAAACAATCCTTGGTGATGCTGTATGACTAAGTTCTTTGAAGATAAAGCACAAATCTTTGCATCGTCGTATCTTAACACTATGACTGTTCAGCCCCCAATATGGAAAATATTCAACAAATGCGAAGATCTTAAAGATGTGTATATTGAGTGGAATAAAAAATGACCCATTCCCTAAACCCAAATAGGTAATAACACCTGATTTTCTGGTCCTTCAGCATGAAAAGGTTTTCGAGCAAATCATTAAAATGTTTCGAGTCTGCCATTTAAGTGAATTTTTTGGAGAAAGGTATACTGTTAAGTCTGCAAATGGTTAAATAAAAGCTGATAGAAGAATTGCTCTGATGGATATTCAACACGTTATTCAGGGGATTTAGAAAAAAGGCAGGATGGATGACATCAATATATAGCTTGGCAGCCTGAAAAAAGGGGTGTACAGGATACAGAACAGATACTATTGTTTGATGACATTTGGATGCCCTTTAAGATCTGTACACAGAGACAGCAAAACCACCTTACTGAGTCACAACAGCAACTCTCCCATTTCTCTACAACACAGAGAAACTGACTAATCCCAAATCCCCGTTTTCAGACAGACTTGGCACACAGAGGGGAAAGGTCCTGGATGTGGATAAGAAATCTTTGGAATTTCATCCA